TAACAAATTTGGCTTTCAAAGGTATATAGCATATATTTCAGTTGTAAGACAAGACGGGTTTTATTTTTTGGGTTGAGAGTAGTGAAGGGGAAACGGTTATCCATAATGGAAACCGGCCGGGGCTACAAGTTGCCACAACACCCTGAGCTTAAGTGACGGACAACCAACCTGCAGCATCCGGTCCTCTCCACAGCTCTCGCAGAGACCCGTCCTCCGTAAGAAGACGAGCTGATGCCGAAGTCCCCAGGTCATCCCAACACCTCGAGGCCGCCACCTCAGACGAGACGCACGGTTGAAGGTCTCACTCCATAACGTAGACGTGGAGGACAAAGCTTAAAAGTGTGGCGTCGTTGGCAGTCGTAATGGATCTCTCTGCTAGGCCGTTTCTGAATCGGACTAGAGGTTTGAGTTTAGCCTCTATCTTCAAAGTTTGATTCGAAGAAATGCGGAAGGTTGCCGATACTATTGCAAAAAATGTTGGGAAACTGCAGCCGGCCAAATAAACTTACAACTAACTCAAACCCAAATAACAAACGTCCAACTGGAAATATCTTAGTCAAGATAATTTTATACACCAAGAACCAGAATAGGCAATAAATATAAGCAGTAATAATCGTGGTGTTGAATGAAATTTTATTTGTAATAAATTTTTATTTCCTATTTTGTTTGCTCGTGCGTACGACACCGTGAACAAGGGATGCGAATGGACGTTTGAACGACGAACACTCGGAATTCATTGGCCATGTCGGGTGTTCCATGTGTAACGTGAAGTCTTTTCTTGAGGTCGGAGAGTTTGATTGTCTTGTCTGTTTATTAAGCAAAAAACTACGGAAATAGAAGAAACCGCCTCAGGAGAATGACTTGGGGGAAGGAGAAGCCAAACATGCGGGACACTCTCCATGCAGGAGCTCCATATAAGCGTTACAATGCATCAGATCTATATTCTCCAGCGAAGGCACTCACGCAAGGGTGGAAGCATTGCAGTCCCAATGCTAGAACTTGGAACATTTTGATATAAGCGGTTGCATCGATCACGATTGCTCTGTACTTGGCAAATTTACTTCAATTGTGATCGAAAATTGACGTTGCAGGCTATTTGAAATCGGTTTATATGCCTCACGTCCTACTCTACATTTTCCAAACATTAAAAGCTTGTTCTGAGTGCCTCGAACTCTTACAGAATTCATCTTGATATTATTACATGGCGAATAACTTACAACAAAAAACGTGTTTTAATGAATGTAAGCGAGAAATTCAGAACGAGTCAATCTGGAGATTTATACGGAATATCTTGCACATATATCAACTTAAATAGCAATGCTTAACACCGCTCAGTTATTACTGTGCGTTGATGCCACACTTGAAAAATATTGCCGGGACTCGCTTCAACGGCAGACTTTCGGTCGGTCGTGAACAGTTCGCATTTATAATAAGTTTGATTGGATTGGATTTCAAATTCAAGACAACATGAAATAATACTCTTTCATCAAGGTATTCATAACCGATCACATCGCAAATTCTTTCATACGTAGAAATAACGCCGATATTCACTGAACATTTGAGTGATATATTCAGCTCGACAAAGTGACCTGATAAACAGACAACGCATGGAGGTCATCTTAACCTTGGTGCAAGCGTGCAAGCGTGTACGATATACTCGTATTGTCGTATGAGTTTCATCACAGGCAGCCGAAGGCTGTTTCAACACAAGAATGACGTAGTCAAGATTTTTTGCGGACCGTCACTAATTTATGGATATTATTTTAGTATATATTGGAAAATTTTAAAGTTAAAAGTGCAGTATTCGAGTTCTTATTTTTACTAGAGTCGACTGTTTGAGTGGTGATGCGAGGAGCAACATGTGTACGATGTGTATTTACATATGACGCGTTGTTTATCTGGAAATCGCCCCACAAAATCGCAGTCCAGACGATGCAGTGCTCGACTTGGCGTGCCGACGCAGGCACCGTGAAAACTGGACTGGGAATTTGGCCAAGCAAATTCTACAAACTCACATTGTCCAATTAAACTTAGAGTAAGTCATAATTATTATCGGGGCATTAAAGGAGTGGATGCATATATAATTAAATACGACTGATGATTACATTGAGAAATGCTAAGAATTTCCCGGTAATAACTATTCCGGAGCAGTGTCTCTCTCTTCTCTGAAGCTCGAGTTCTCAAGTTTTAATTTTTAAAGCGACACTCTGAACTTGCATCTACAGATGCAGGAATTTAAATTGTTATGCAGCCCCAAGTAAAAATTAATATCTTAGCAAATGGAAAACCGGTTTTAATCGTGAAGTTTTGTTAAGAGTTTTCGTGCAGCGCTCCTGACAATGTCGAGCTAACCCGTCATGCATTAAAAAGCTCGCGTGACCGGCATAGAACGAGCGCCGAGGTATTGCCTGTTTTAATCGTAACAGGTTGTTGGGGCGGTCTTGCTCTGGTGCCCATGCAATTATTCTTTCAGCATTTCAGCCTCCGGGTTTTTACCTCGAAGAAAAAGAAGCGCCGGTACAAGTAAAATTACGGCGCGGCCAGACACGGTGTGCTGAAGCGGATGGAACACTAATTTTATTTTGTTCTTAAATGAAAAATTAATGAAATCTTTCCGACATTCGAACTATTTTAATTTTGAGTTTTTAAGAAATGTTTTTGGAAAAATATTTCAAGCTTATTCTTACTGCTATTTACCTTTAAAGCACTTGCAATGGAGTTTGAAGTTTGGACTGTCGAATTAATATCTTATTCATGTGTGTCGTATACGAACATTCCGACTTGGCACCAGGGTTGCACTGGGCACCTGCCCGGGTAGCTGCCCACATACCCACCCGGGCTGGGGTTTTTAACGTAAAAAACCCGGGTTTTTATAAAGAGAAACGTAGAGTGCAAAGTGGGTTTAGATGAAAACTTAAGAAGGCATCACACTGATTATATGGTTCTGAACTTCAAAAGCAAAAATACTGGATAGAAGCTAGCAAGGAAATATCTATTAAGCTTTTTTTTGAACAAAAACAGTCCTCTCATATCTACATATACTCCAAACCTCTATAAAAAGCCTACATTTATTTGAGTCTTAGAAAATCTCACGCATTATAAAGTTTTATAAATAATACTAGGTCCCCTAATTTGCTCTATATAGTCATTCAGGACCTGTCACAATGACATGATACCAAAAAGTGACAATCAGATATTTCCTTCATATCAAAGCCCATTTGCGATTTTGTCTAAATTTTTAGCATTTTATATATTATAGAGTCATAAGTTCACAGAGATTTTTTGTAAGTATTTTATGTTAGCCCTACCTGAACTATAGGTTTAATATAAACTTCAATATTGGTGTTAATATAATTTACAAACTGTAATTTCTGAATATGAAATAGAAAAACACCCTCATCAGTCCTATAAGCAATTATTTTCTAACTGATATTAACATACACTACGACTTTTGAGACTATAATTTCATGTTTGATTTTTTTTTACTCACTCAGAAGTCCATAAAACAAGTTTAAAAAAATTAAGCATTACTTAAAGCCGACAGTATAAGTCAATTGACTTATGCCGGTTTTGTCATGTATACATATACCTAACTACTTGGTAATTTGATCCTTTAAATAGATACGTACCTATCTTAAAATTCTTCACAAAAAGACGGGTAGTGAAAAAGGAAGATCAAACCGTCTAGGTATACATTATTTTTAAAGACAAAATGCAAATTTTGCTAGTGTTTTTTTTCTGCACACTAATGGTTTTGCTATGAACATGTTTTTTTTTTAATTTTGGATGATTTAGGTTCTTATTTAGTAGCAACCCTCAGTAGTATCAATACACATAAATAAAAATCGGATCGGCATAAATTAAAAGTGCTTAGTCCAATTTTTCAAAAGTTATGATAAAAAAACTGAAAATTATTTTTCTAGAGGCTTCCTAAATAGGAGTTTTAAGATACAAGAAAACTGCCGAACTGGGTTAATTGATTAAATTCATATTTTTTACGTTGATTTGTTGTCTGACAGAGACAACAAATCACTGGCTTAATGCATCACTGGCTTACTGTTTAAAAATTAATGATTATTTGATTAAGAGCTATGGCAAATGTAATAAAGGTTGATACTTGATTCCCTTCAGCATAAAATTTGTAATAATAAGCAAAATTGAAAAGGACTTTGAGTTAGGTATAAATTAAATAAGTGGACAAATTTTTTTATTCATTTCGCCCGGACTTTTTCAATAAAACGCTGGGTTTTTAAATAAAACCGGGGTAGGTTGGGCAATTAAAAAAACCCTGGGTTATTTGCAACCCTTAATGGCACCGTTGCGTAATTAAGAAACCGAAAAAATTAACTATTTCTGAGTCGTAGTATTCAATAGCTTGTACGATGCTCAGTCAAAATATCTCAGGAATTAATTACTCTCGAGTTATGTAGCTGGTGACTCTGAAACCCGGTTTTGTAGCTGGTAACACTGAAACCCGCGTGCACGTGCGGAACGGAACCGCGTCGCCGTCTCCGGAACACGGGACGCGCGTGTGGCCCAGGCCGGCACTGGGTCGAGGGTTTCCGTTACTGGACCTTGATGGGCATAACGCGTAACGAACATTATTTTAGACAACAATTCATTGTGCGTGTTTTTATTCACATACTGATTCCATTTAACTGCCAAGCTTTATTCTTGTTATTACAGAGCCTGCGAGAAGTCAAGCACTGTCTCGACATCTATGCCTTATTCTTTTATAAGTTTGAGGTTTCCGGTTCGCAAAGGGTCCACGGTTTTTTGTGTTAAAATCTATCAGTTAAGCAAAAAAATTTTATGGATAATTTTAAAAATATTCTATTACTTACTCGGATGAATCTCATACAAACTACTGAATATTGTGGACAAGACATACTAGAAAATAAAGACAAAATTCAATTTGAAATTGCTTGATTTGCACTGCTTAACTATTACCAGTATGACGAACACTCAATCTATTTTCTTATTCTTTTACATTTTTCTAGGTCGACTTGAGTGCGAGGGCCCAGCAATGTTGTCTTGGAATGTGGCAGCCATATTATCCAAACTAGTTACCGTAATTTTGCCAAGAAATGTCCCGTCCATCTTATCGAAACGTTTCCCTGCCGTGTTATCAGTAAGCGTTTGCAACGTCATATCGAAAAGCGTCTTGCCGAGACGTGATATCTCCAAGCCTAAAAGTGTGATCAAGATGCTGGCTGGGGGAGGCTGGTTCCTGCTTCCTCTGCTTCTCAGCCTCGTATCCAGAGCACAAGCCGGTGAGTCGAATACGTAGTAAATTGATTTTACATCTCATGAAAACTGTTTTTATGAAGTAAATATTATTTAATTGACTAATGTATATGCTTATTTTCAATTTTTCTGACGAATATTTCCGCCTTCCTAAAAGGCACTAAATAGAGTTTTCTTGAGTTTCATCGAGTACGCTCATGTAACATTTATCGTAAATTATGCTGCAGTGTATTGAACAACTTTGACTCTTTCACTCATTAACACTGCACGTGTGCAATATTCCTGGTTTCATAAAATGTTTCGTTGAGTAAAAGTAATGAATGAATATGCGAGACGCTATACAGTTGAATCTACATTAAAATATTCACGTACACTCGTTCGTACATACATACATGCATAAATATTCATTCATGTATCACGCAAGTCGAGTCATAAGTCATGACCACACCATGTTACATCACACGCATCTTGTCACGCCACAACTTATGCCTGGATGAGCTCAGCGTCACGCTCAGGGGCTCGCATGTTATGTGGCCGTTCGTTCCTGTCGCACTGTTCCTTACTTGATGTATTCCTTACATTCCATCGTTTAGCACCAGAGCATAAAGCGTGCATGCATTTCTTGTCCTACGGTGTATCTAAATTTCGGTTCTCAATTGTTTGCTAGAATAAATTGACTAAATTTCAAGGTAGACAGGTGCCATACTTTTTTAATTGTCCACTCGCTTTTTCTTTTTTTTGCTAATAAATTGATCTAAATCTTTCACAAATTCTGAAAATATAAAATATTGAGTATCAATCCTCAAATAATAATTGATTTACCCACCGGTGGTGTTTCAGAGTGTGGAGGAGGGCGGAGAGAAGTGCTGGAGAGGGTGGCGAGGGTGCAGCTCGTGGGAGTGAGCCTGGAGCCTCTTCTGAAGGGCAGAAGTGATGCCCCGCTCACCATGGACTGCCTAAATAGGTAACAAGTTGTTTTTAAACTGTTAACCATAGTTGATAAACATGGGTAACTACAAAACCTAGGTAATCAGTTTCTTATAAACTGGTTACCGATTTCTTCATTGACTGACCTGCCAAAATCCTTTCGAGTATCGGAATGTGAAAATCTTTTCCTTATTAACTTTAAACCCTGTGTTATCATTCAATCATCAGGACTCATTCCAGTGTCATGTTGTAAAGTTTTTTTTTCCAATCGACCAATATCCTCTGCATTGTTCATCTGCCGAGACTTCTCTGTGTCTTGGTGTGGAACCATGCTTATCAAACCGCTATATTATTATTATTATATTATACCATGTGGTCGTCCTTCAGTTTGCCAGCACTCCTCGAGAGCTGTGATATCTGAAGCCAGACTTTTCATTACCTCCATTACCTGCGATCTCCACAGGTGCCAGGACTCCCCCCAGTGCCGGGGTGTGATGGTGGACTATAATAACATGGAATGCCAGGCCCTCACCAGCAGCTCACGCGTGCATCCATCTGCCAAGTACAGACAGGCTCCTGAACAGGCAACCGCATACTTCCAGAAGATTTGCGTCAAAGGTAATTACACCAAACGCGTTGTTCTTATAATTAGGTATATTGTATGATCCTCGCCGTCTAGGAGTGGACGAAAAGGGGCTAAGCCAGATCTTAGTCTAATCGTCACGTTCAGGGACCATAGACTAATCATGTCATAGTGACCTGATTGAGACTGGAGCTACTTATGCTCGCCAGCTTCTACTCCAGGAATCGAAATATGCCAAACACAGGTCAACAATTAGTATAGATTAGTTTAGCTAAGCGATGAATAATAATATCGGCTATGAGTTAAGTTTTGCCACGAGCGCGATTGTACACTGTACTACATAATTTTGTGTACAATTGCTGAAGAAACACAAAATCAACAATGATTGGGATCTTTACTGCTTTAGCGGTAAAACTTTTTTCAGTAGTTAGATTTATGTTTCTGAATCTCGTCATAGTAATAATTAAATTTTGAAATGTTTTATTTTTTCTCATGCCATCATTGATGGAGGTAGGTATATTGTTTAAATGCTGACAGATGGTAAAAATACATTATAGAATTTAAGTAATTTTTTTAGGAAAGAAACAAGTTTATTCGGTGCCTTCATTGAAGCCACAAGCCGGGATGTTGCCGAACTAGCAACGGACCGTAACTGATGTGCTTTTCTCAGCCCCGACGTCGTGTCCAAAGCAGTGGGTGCTGGAGCGCATCCCAGGCTACGCTCTGGAGGGCTACGATAACAAAGAAGTGTCGGCTGTGCACAGCAGGGAGGCCTGTGCAGAGCTTTGTCTCGTGCAGACCTCGGAGCTGTTGTGTAGAAGTGCTGAATATAATGAAAGGTACAAAACTGCAATATTTATTTAGCCTAAAACGAACATATTGCTGATCTTCATATTTATTGGTCAAAATGGTTACTTTTTTGGTTAATTTAATCGACCGAATGTTTTTCAAAACTTTGGCAATTATTCCTTCATTTATCTTCAATGTGTGTGCAAATGTCGTCGTAGATCTTATTTAACAAGTTTGTTATGGAACGAGTGCTAAAGAAGATAAAATCTACAGTTTAATTTGATATGGTAATCTCAGGCGTCGATCTTTTGTCCTTCTTTTACCTGGACACAATTTCGATATTAGGGGACACAATTTCGAGGACAAGTTTCTTTGAAAATAATTTTTAATGGTTAAAGTCAAAAACAGTTACAGGTCGTGTTGGGTAAGCATCTCGAATTTTCGCCAAAAATAGATAGGGAAATTTTTATCAAAGACATGTCGGGCCCAGGTCATGGATGCTATCATATTATCAAGAAAAACTAGTCAAAATTATATTCACAGTTATATATCCACCAATTATATCCAATTATATATATAAATTATATCCACCAAAATTCACCGAGAACAAAAATAGTTCCTATGATACATTTTATCCATGAGGTCTTCGTGGGCAGGACGCAAACGTGCCGCCTGAGTAGCGAGGACAGACGTACGCAGGCCCTCAGCTTCCAGCCCGTCGCTCAGGACATCCACTACATCGAGAACCTCTGTGCTCCTGGTGGGGGCAAGCTATAGTGCTTCACCATTTATGATATTTTTTAAATGTTCAAATATATGAAGAAAGAATTATTTCGGTGGCTGGGTGTCGTTTGATTTTTTTCACTGACAAAATTGAGTGTTGTTGTCTAGTCATTTATGCTCTCTGAATCGTGGTCTACACAGCTATGATACATTCTTTATTACATAGTTATTTGATGAACCAAGGTAAAGAAAACCTGGGTTTAATTAGTTTAAATATAAGGTTATTTTTGATCGAGTAAATGAATAATCGTATTTGGTTGGCGAAGTGACTTGTTATAGAAATGTCGGAATTATCCGAATTTACATGATAAGTTTTGTCTGACGCAACCTTTACAAAATTGCCGATTATTATCAGATGTGGAGCACGGCGTGCAGTGCGAGTACGAGAGCTTCGAGAACCAGCACCTGGCGAGCTGGGACGAGCAAGTGACTGCTGAAACCAAGGATCAGGTGGGATAGAAGCTAGCTTACATTTCTATTTCAGTATTTATGTTTATAATATTCATTTTCGTTTAGCATTTACGTATGTTCTATTTTATATGCTAGAATATATTAGTTGGACTTGCCGTAAAAGTAAATGAAACTTGATTTGAAACCTTTTTCTCTGAATTAATTTCCTATAAAATCTTACCGTCATCGTGAAGCCGTTTCAATGCTTCAATTGTATATTTCTTTGCAGAAATTAATGTCTTCAAGCCTTACGAAGCCCAGAGCATCAATCTTGCTCCTCGCAATCTGCTTGCTCATGACCAAAAGTCTTAAATGTATTTGTACTTTCTATAAAAGTTCATTAAATTACTTGATTAAATTAATAAAATGCTGTACAAATTTAATTTATTTATACCTTCTGTACAAATATTCATCACATTTCAATATCTAATTGCAATCGTCATTGCAGTGCACGGCGGCGTGCTCGTCATGGTCGCAGTTCACGTGCCGGTCTGTGACGTGGCGTGAAGAAGACCACGAGTGCCGCCTCTCCTCAGATGACGTGACTGGGGCGGGAGGTTTGGGTGCCCTCACTCTGCAGCCTGGAGTCATTTTCCTGCAGAAGTCGCCTTGTCTTGACTGTGAGTTCTGAACACTTTACAGCAGAATACTATAATAGCTTTCCTGTAGTATTGGTCAGTGGATTTAAACAGTTCAGTTAACCTGCTCGGTTATCATGCAGCTTGCTAAATGACGACAATTTTGATGGACAGTGGACCTGCAGTGCAGCGTCGACTCGATGACGGTGAGGCTACATACGGACGAGCCGTTCCAGGGGCGCCTGTTCTCCCAAGACGCGCCCTCCTCCTGCCAGCAGCTGGGCAGCGGCCGCACGGATACGCACCTAACCATTAACGTCAGTAAAAAGGATTAGTTCCACAAAGATAAAGATGCATGCATTCGAGAACCTATCCATCAGCATCAGTGGATTCCAGTAGAAACTAATCAAGATAGGCGTGCAATTATTTAAACATATATTGCAAATGAACACGCATAGATAATTGTACCTGGCATTGCTTATTATACTTCAGTTATTCGTATTATTCGTACTTGATCGAATCGATATTCATCTGAAGATTCCTGGAAGAAAGTTGGTGGAATTACACCATGACGTTTTTAATTTCCCGAATTAAATAGATTGATTCACAGGGTGAAATCGGAATGTACGTGGAAGAACAAACCAGGACTGCGAAATTTTCTAGCAAAAATATTAATAAAAAAAACGAAATTCTAATTGTTTCCCAATTATTGTTCAGTTTCGTGAACGAGAGTGCGGTGTGGTGGACGAAGGTGAAGGTGTGGTGAGCAGTGTCGTTGTGGTGCAACATCACCCCGTGGTGCAGAGAAGAGGTGATAAAGCCATCAAGCTAGTGTGTCTCTTCAACACCACAAACAGAACTGTGAGCAGCGGCTACAATTTTCAGTTCAGCGGGTACGTATTTACACTGCATAGTACGAGATTTGTGATTCGATATTTCCTCAGGCCAAAATCCTCTTACCTACTAATCGGTATCGGAATCAATAACAGACTAAATAGGTAACAAATTTTTATTTAAAAGAGCGCATTGACGAGGTATGGTGTCTGTAGCTAAATCCACTGGGGCTATTCAGGCACGGCCTGAGCGGCGGCGTGGCGAGCGCTGTTGTGAACGCCACGGCGCCAGTGCCGCGACTTCGGCTCCGCATCGTCGGCAGCGACGGCAGAGACGTCGGCGGCGCTCGACTCGGCGAGACACTGACACTGAGGCTGGAACTTGACGACTCCAGTGAGACTCCGGTGCTAATTTATATGTCTTAGCCAACTCGCTAAACTTTAGTTTTTTGTGTTCATTCCATTTTATTATTTGTTTAGTTTGATCTTGTTGCAGACTTGAGTTATTCCATCGTATTTTCTTGGTGTCATGAATGAATCGTGTATCGAATTTTTTTTATTAATTTTCCAATTGCACGAATGTCTCATCAAATGTTAGGCAAGACTGGTCGTGTGTGGTTACAGTTTCTCGGATTGATGTGTGCCGCAATTGTAGCGCCCGTTTAAGCGTGTGCTAATTGGTAGTTTATGATCAGGCGTTTACGGAATCATGGCCCGTAACCTGGTCGCCCGGAGCAGCGACAGCACTGGCCACGTGACCTTACTAGACGAGCGAGGGTGTCCGGCTGATCCCCTTATCTTCCCCTCGCTGAAGCCCCTCGATAACGGCTATCGGGGCCTCCAGGGCACATTTCAGGCTTTTAAATTCTCAGAGGATTCCGTCGTCAGGTTTCAAGTCAATGTTCAGTTCTGCCTACAAGAGTGCAAGCCAGTGAGTTCATGACTTTTTATCCAAGTTGTCTTTAATTTAGTTTTTATTGAAATCACTGGTACCCTATGTCTCATTAATTTTCTACCGTTATTAAGATTCGTATGTCTTTTATTTATCGTTTGACGTTTCTCTTCAGGCTGACTGTGAAGGCGGCACGAGCTCGTACGGCCGAAGAAGAAGAAGCCCTCAAGGGTTAGTGAAGCTTCCACCTCAACAAGACGCGTCCAAATTCAGAGCCAGCATTGTCCCGGTGTCCGCTGAAAAGGTGAAAATTCACCTCCTGGATAAACAAAGAGAGGCTGTTGTTGAGTCCGAAGATGACGATGATCATTTCTATCACGAGATGCCCCTACAAAAAGAGATCATTGTCGCCAACACACACGTATTCCCTCTCAGAGATGGCAGGCTGCACGACGAAGGAGGTATGAACTGACTAAAACTGGGATTGCAAGTAAAGTTTTTATTCGGAACAGACTCGTATAGGAAACCGAGTGGAGATTAGTTTGTTTCGAACTTATAATGTTTTTTTTTTTCAAATCTAAGCAGTTTGAAAAAGCATGATGTGTTATCACTCATTGGTATAGTGTGAAATGAAGCTCAATTTCTGATTGCATTGTTCCTGCTCAATATTCTCAATAGTTGTAGGTGGTCCTTAAATGTGGTTTTTATATCTATTGTATGTATTAATGATATTAATGATGTGAGATGGATCTCTGGTTTCACAGAATTCAGGCGACTGGGCAACCTCGTCTGCATATCGTGGGAGATCATCATATGTGTCCTCGTGGCATCGATCATGTTGCTGGTAAAGAGAATTGATGAGGAAATTTAGCATTATTTCTTGTTCGATCAAATAATCCGCTTTAGTCGTAGGTGATGAGTATTCTGTGACAAGCCCACAATACTTGCTAGTAGCACTAGTCGAGAACAATGCTGAAACATTATGTGCATTTCTCCTTGAAGGAACAAATCATCGAATTTCAGGATTTGGTATTTTAGTCCTTCGTAAAAGGTGAATGCTACTGTGTAAGTTTTCAAGACTATTTATTAACTTCTTAATAAGTATAATGCAGCTTATCGACTTATAACATAGTTTTCTAGAAACTTGCAGCATGCAGTGACTCGTGATTCGTTGCACAGATCTGCGTGGTGCTTGTCACTGTCATGTGCGTCTATGCGCAACGTCGCCGCTGTTTCCCGTCCAGTGATGAAGCGTCTTCCGACGTCGCCTACTCTGAACGACCGGCGTCGAGTGCCGCACTCTGCTCTTCTGAGCACTCAGACCACACACTCAGAACGCTCCGAACATCGCTCAGAGATTGAAATATGCGCTCATGAAGAGCCAATTTACTCTTCTTAGTCCTGATAGTTGAAAGATTACAATTTCCAGAGCATCGCGTTTGTATTCAATTTATTTTCTGTTACGTTAACCAACTATCGGAATGGCTCCTTTTGAGCGGTTTCATAATTTGAATTGGATGAGATAAATCTTTAAAGAAAGGTTGCTTATATAGGAAAATTCTTTGGATTTCAACTAATACTGATAAAATAAAGTCGACTGTTACTAGTTATGAATCTAATATTTTCACTGACTATAAAAGGATAGAAACCAATAAATAATAAACATTTATCCAAATAAAATAATAGAAACCAATCTGTTGAAGCCTCTGGCTTTGATTGCATTTTATGCGAAAACTCAGAAATAATGTTATTGTACATGAAATTAAGAAATTACTGTAAAAACGTGTACATTTGTATGAGATTACTATAATATTAATTGAGATCGCAGAATAAAAAATGAGAAATAGTTATAAAATTTTTTAACGATTAGCATAAAATACTGACCTGTTTCACTGAACTGCATGTTTTATAGAGCCTGTACATGTTTGCTCGCACATTCCAGTATATTTGTACAAATATATGTTTATTTTGTTATAAAAATGAAGTAAACTGCTGATGAAATATTCTTAACCTAAATCTAAACCATCAACCATTTTACAAATAATTTCATAGCTTTGTCCACAACAATAAATTGGTAATTTGTAATACATGAATAATGTATGTTTCCATGATTTCCCGTTAGCCATTGCATGACTCAACATAACACAGTTTATTGTCCTCCGATATATTTCCTACGGGTCCTCCGTTACAGAGATTACTGAATCTTTTCTTCGTGAGTTCAGTGTAAGCAAAATGAAATCTCACTAGAGAATTTTGATCTGTTTTTCTCCAACTACTCGCAACTGATTGAACGTCTGGTGAATGAAATAAAAATAAATTCATTTAAATCATCTCGAAGGATTCATCATCATCGTTGTCTCTGAAGACGTATGCGTCGAAGTCTCCCTTCCGAACCTGAAATCGTACAAGCCGCCAGTGTTATAAGATCAAATAAGTATCTGTATTTAGTATAGGTACCCACGTACGTATTTTCGATCTCCAAAATTCAACAGGATATGGTTCACAATTATATTATTTAACCATGTACTTTTATATCACTAATTACTCAAGTATAATATCATTTCTATTCGAACTAAAACGGTTTGCACGAGCCTAACCTTATACGTGAGCGTAGCAGCAATGACTGCGCACAAGACGAGGCAGCACGATGCTGTGGCGAGCGCAACTCCGAGGGCGACACTGGGACGTGCTGCGTCTGTGGCCATCACCATCCACCAGCTGCTCGCTTCTGCTCTTAGCTGCACACGGGGAAAATGCTAACTTCTAAGACAAAATGTCAAATCCAATATACGGAGATATTTTCTTATGTTATAATACAATAACATGTTGTAATAAAAACTATTGGAAATTACGAGTAATGAGGACATAAACTTTTGATAGAATTTTGGACAAAAATTGCAATTTTACTGCGTTGTATTCTTAGCCTTAAGCGCCAGTTTTTAAGTCTAGGTTAGTATAGTGTGCGGCATGACGTTTGCGTTTATGTAATGGGAAGCGGTAATCGTTACAAGATATTTTTATGTTCAATTACAATTCTTCTCAATCCTAGCACGTTTCTTGCCACTAAAGTGAGTGAAACGCTTTTTGTGAAATAAATTAATAAATAAAATAAATAAATATATAAAATAAATAATAAAATAATAAATAATAAAATAAATAAAATAATAAATAATAAAATAAATGTAAAATCTTAAAGCGAAAACTTATGACCAGAAATGAGCAATCAGTTTCGTACGCGCTTCAGGAGAGGAAGGCTGAGCAGTAAGTAGTACGCACTGAATGTGATGCATGCACTGCACCACAGCAGCCACACCGCAGTCATGCACATCATGAACTGTAGGAAATAGTATGAGAAACGCTTGCAGTATTCAGTTTGCTCGTAGAGTGTACTTCGTGGATTTAACTGCTATTTTGACTAATTATGATTTCAACAGGAGGGTTCAAGAAAAACATTATACAAACTCTTTCATTTTTTATTGGCCATGTTAGTTGAATGTATCATAGCTATCCGAGATAGTTTTTTTTAATATTCAATCTACGATAATACAGAGACAAATTCCGAAAAAAAGCATTCATTATGGCTGTGAGTGAAGTGGGCTGCAAAGTCCATGATTGCAATTTGTCTCACAATACCCATGTCATAAGTTACTGTTGAATAGGTGAATTAAATATGAACAACGGTCACCCGATTCATTACTCGATGACACGTTCTTTGCTAACTTTAATGAAGGCGACCACAAGCGCTGCCGATATTGCTATCCCAGCCGCCCCTGTCGCGATGCCCAACACCGCCCGAAGCTGCAGTCCTGCAGTCCAGGGAAATATTAAATGACGATACATGCAATGTCATATGTCTGCCTTAAATATTATTCACATAAGCATTAAACATTGAGCAGAATATATTACATGTAATAACTAGATTTATTTTATTGCAAATTCAAATAATATACAAATCAACGAAAAGGATATACAAACAAAACTGTTTAAAATTCCTCTAATGACTGTTAATTGTTGATGAGGGCACGAAAATAGAATTGCTCATAGTGATATCCTTTTATCGAGGACATCACTATCAGCTTGTTTGGGCGTGAATAATTTAAAATATTTAATTTCTTGCTTCACTGTATGATCTTTTTAGCGCATTTTCTCATTTATGGAAAAAATGCACTATTGTGCTCGCCATGTCCGTCCGTCCGTCTGTCCGTCCGTGACTTCAAGTTTTCGTCGACGAGAAAATGCGCTCTGTAACTCACTGCAGTGAGTAGTGAGTTATATTTTTTCTTCATTGATGTGCAACACTGATGCATGTGACCAGAGTCATTTTCCTGTGCAAAAACTATCATGCAAAAAAGGGAAACTTCGTTTGGTATACGGGCAATGTCAATAAGTCTAGAGTCACCTCCGTAGCTGGATTCGTTAACATTCTTCAGCGCGACTCTGTTCAGCTCCAGGGTCCACACAGTGCAAAGTCCAACACTCAGTAGCTGTTAGGGATGTCAAGAAGATGGGAAAATCATTCAGATAGTAAATTAATAAATAATTATAATACATTATTGAGCGTCAACGAATCGCTCTCGATTCTCAGAAGTCCGATATAAATTTTTACAACACTTCTCTTTAACTTCACTTCTTGTTTGTTTGTTTGTTTGTCTGTCTGTCTGTCTGTCTGTCTGCTACAAATCTTGTAATCGAAATTTAACACACTTCTACTTATCCCATCGATCTGAAATTTTGCACACTTGTGTAAAGTTGGAGACAATGCATGAATCAAATGTCAAAATAAATGATTTTGAAAATTAAAAAACATTTTTTTTTTCAATATTAAAAAAATTGAAAAAATAATTTTGTCAGCTACAAATCTTATAACTGATATTTGACACACTTTTACCTGTCTAATTGATCTGAAATTTTGCGTACACTTGTGCGAAGTCAGAAGCAATGCATGAATCAATTAATAGAATAAATAATTTTGAAACAAGTTTATATATTAAAAAAATTATATATTAAAAAGTTGAAAAATTAATTTTTTTTAATATTCGAAAATTAAATGAGAAATTCATTGTACATCTGTAAGATTGGAGACACTGGATTCTTTTGAAGTGTTGTCTTTAAAAAGTAATTTTTAAACGTATATTATTAACAATCAGATGCTTGCAAGTATTTCAAATTTGTATTTTATAAGTAAACCTGTACGGTGCACTTGGTGTTATTAAAACTTATATTAGCTCAAAATTTCTCTTCTTGTCCACGTTCAATTAACAACCCAATTATGTACTATGTTGATTCATTTCGGCGCATTTTAGGTATAAAGATGTCCAATGCATGGTTGGTGTATAGAAATGAGCTGAACGACTCATCTTCCTCCACTTTAAATCCTTGAGAATATTAAATGTAACTTTTTTAAGATCATTTGAATAACATTCACTTTCATTAATTCGACATTTTGTATTAATTACAAAAGAATTTTTTGATTGAGAATAAACTCACCAAGGAAATGGTACCAACGAGAGAACCGCTGATCACTAGGCACTTTAGACGGCATGGATGACACGACGACATCGCAGTTATAACTTTAAAAGAATTCTTACTCAACAATGGCAAGTCTGAGTACCAGATGCGATGTCATTTATGGCTATTACAGACAACAAATAAATATCAGTCCTATTGCTATTCAATATGGAAGAACAGAAACATAATTCGGACGCAATCGCTACATTGTTTGTTGGTAAAATAGCGTAGGTTTGAGTGAAACTTTTAAAGAAAGAAAATATGTGATTACGTAACTATGTTCAAATTAAATATGTGAATACGTAACTATATTGGACCTGGAGACCGCACGATATGCATGTCATAACTGCTGTGCTACAACGTTCTATTTCACTATTTGATAAGCAAGGTTATTAAGTTCATGGGAAAACCATATCAATTATGCAATATATTCTGCTTAGGTCACAATTACGTCAGTGTGGGCTGGTCTTCTTGCTCAGAAGACCAGCCATTTTTACATGTTTATTCAAAATTTATAAAAAATTATCTATTATTTAGGCACATAAATTAGCGTTTATAGGCGTAGATACTCGATAAATAAATGAATTACATAATAAAATTATCCAACTCAGTTACATTCTGTCTCAGTTACTTTTACTAAACAATTAAATGGCTCCTATTCGATTTTTATTGACAATATCATGTCAGTAAATTCATCTATAGTCAGCCGCTCGTCGGCACCTGTATGGTTTACCAGAATAATAGATTAGATAGGAATTTACTACCATGTTTGTCTTTATTATGCAATTAACCACTACGCAAATCCTGAAAGATAATGAAATAACTGAGAAATTGTTTTTCCATCGATCCGAAAATAATATCAACGTTTCCTTCATAGCGATCCTGTAGTCAGTTGCTTTCTTGCCAAAGCAAGTTTGCGATCAAAATGGTAACACATACTTAAAATTCATCTCATGAATCTTGTCTGATAACTTGAACAATCGTTTTTAATTAAACCATGTTTAGACGATCAGTCATTCTTTTATATATCACGCTATATATTTTACACAATGCCAATGTCAAAAACGAAGACGATGATAATCATTACAATAAACACCGACCTATAGCTGTATTTTCAGCTCTATTCGAGTTTGATGTTTTCAGTTTTCAATAACTTCGTAAGGCTGAGGTTCTAGTATTATATTGGTCTAACCCCGCATGCTCTTGTGTCACCAGGTTCGTCTCTTCACTGACTGACTATCGTGACATGTCCTAACTTCCTGTCAAGCTCGCACTAGGAACGTCCTCTTGACGTTCTTTCTACAATCACATTTGCGTACGTTGAACTAATTGCAGTAATCAATGTCGTTCTTTATGTTCCTCATATTTTTAATATTTAATGAGAAACTCACGTTAGTCATTAATTTAATTAACAATGATGAGAGTTTAAATATTTTTTTCACTTTCATTTGATTCGCTTCCATAATTTTCATAAAACTTTAAAATTGTCTTAAAAGCATCCACGAATAAATGCTTCTCCGTAGATTCAAGAAACGTTTCTCTTAATAATTTATGAACCATTTTAAGATATTTAATTGTTGTACAAAGACGTAATTTACTTATTGCACAAATAATGGCAACAGCATTACTTTCATCATTGAACTTGAAGCATTCGTCCCTAATTGAATACAGTAAATTCTTCGTCCCATCGTATTGAATAATTAATGTAGAATTCATAATTGCCCCCAACACTAAAAAAATCGTTCTAAGACTGTCGAAACTCCTAAAGCTGTAAAATTAATCCTCGACAATCAGCTAGGGTTGCGTTGTTCATTTCAAGGCTTAACATTCTTATCAGTGGATCAACGGCTTAAGCACTTGACGTCGGCATCGGACTATGCCTTCTGTAGAAATTCGACTTGAACCACTCAGACCTCGTCAGTTGAATTTAAGTCGATAGCTTAGAATGGCTGAAGCTCTCAGTGAAATTTTAATGTTTCAGTGAGAGCTTTTCTGGAAAATGTGAGCTATATGCCCAGAGTAAGTCTAACAGTGACATTGTTAGAACAGATGACAATGTTAAACGAACTATATAAACGTGGATTGGAAGATAAATGAATATACATTTATAACGGATGAATTTAACTATGCATAATTGCATATGGTTAGCCTAAATGAATAATTGGCAAATATACTTTCAGTTTTCAAAGAGAGTGTCATTGGTGAGAACTCGAACTCAAACGATCATGCGTTGGATACAAACGGATTATTTATGATTGCATTATACATATATCTTAAACGTTTGACATTTTGAATTTACAATTATCTTCTCGTTAAATGGAATTCGAGTGAGTGGATTTAACGATCAATTTGGATTATACATATACATGTGAATTCATGAAAGCATGTAAGCTACAATCATAACCTGAATTTATGTTGGAGACACATAAGACAGTATGAACACATATTGAAAGTAACGTCGTAATTTTGAAGTGACTATGAACACATAGTTGATAGTAACGACGTAATTTTGAAGTGACTATGAACACATAGTTGATAGTAACGACGTAATTTTGATGTGACTATGAACACATAGTTTATAGTAACGACGTAATTTTTGAACACATGGTTTATGGTTACGTCGTAAGTGAGGTGTTCTATCGAAGTTTAAGAATTCGTCATATTCAACAGTATGTATTATGCATCCCCTACAATAATATTATGAGGTAGTGTTGAAGCAGACCTTAATGATGTTTGGTTGTTTCTGAAGACTGAAAGTTTTTAATTATGGGGTGTCGAGTCTAAATAAAAAAGTGGGAAAATGATGATTGGTTTCGGTATTACTTCACTCATTAATTTTGGTTACATTCTATTAGTACTCACTCGTCGATCATGATTTTACTTTATTTTATTCTGTAGGTACGTGGATCCGCTTCCAGCTTTTACTTTCAATTATTACATTCAGTCATACGAGTTCAGATTTTTTACTATTACCACTTCCCAAACCTCCTATTACAGCTTGCTTTGCAGAATATTTCAGTAAATGCATGCTAATGTCGATCTTGAGTGACGCTGCCTTATTTAACACGCATATCAACAAAAAATGTATGCGGTAAAATCAAAAGCAATTTAATTGCACGTCAATCCTAGCGTCGTATAAACAAAACCTTTTGATTAACGGTAAATACCCTAAATCATTTTCTCATTGCAACCTGCTTCTTCATTAGACAGATTAATATCCGGTTTATAACATGATCGGTCTTTTCGATAACGCTATTGCTTGCCTACACGATAAGACATCAAAGTGGCGACACGGTCAGTAGGCTCTGGGTTCATATATAACCGTGTAGTTTGATAATACAGTTAGAGCCAATATTACCCTATCGATTAATCCCCTAAATACTGATAAGCCACGCGTCTTAACGCGCACGTATGTATAAAGGCATGTACAGTCGCAGCATGTTGATCATTTAGCGCTCATCTTACTCAGTGCAACATTACTGAGTTTTTCGCTAATATTTCGTCGTGCAGTGGATTGTCGGTGTAATTATTATTAGTCGAATAAATGAATTTTGTACACTCTTATTTTCTTGTTGGAGGATTGAAAATTAATTACTCTTGATCCATTGTTAATTGATGGATCACTTGTCATCAAAATTCTTTGAGCTGACGCTCTTTAAACAAGACCTGGAGCGTTTTAAATTCGAAAAAAACTACTTTTTTGCCCCAATCAACCTGTGCTTTAACCTGTAATGTGTGATTAATCTGTAATATGGGATTAAACTGTAATGAGTGAGATGATTAGTTCTACTGAATTCGATCCTGAGTGAATTTTGTGATACTCGAGCAGCCTGGTGAATGTTGTGTCAGCTCCTGCACATTGACTTGAAGTGAATGAGACCATGCATTTCTTATTGAATATATACGGAACGTTAGTTAGTAATATATATACTGGCACAAAATTATCACGCGAACCATTGTAAAACTGGTTTATAATCGTGCAAAGTAATATTCTGACATACACCAACAATTGAATGATATTTCATTGTAAGTTCATTATAAATTCGCACTGCACATAGAAAAATACTTGCTTTTCCTCGAAGCACATTTAGTAAGCGGTATAACAGCGTAATTATGATTTGAAATTTTCTTGTTTAAAGCATTTATTTCATCCTAATTACGCAAAGTAAGCGTATTTACATCGTGGTTATGATTAAAAATTATTTTGTGGCTTGCAGTCGATGGTAGCTATTTCTAAACAGAAGTCAGAAAAATGCGCCATAGCCGTTAACCATATTTTAAAACTTCTATCCTGCTCTTCGTTTCAGGACTTCAAGGAATGATTTAAAAAGAAATATACAACGGATAAAATTCGAGCCGGTAAATTAGCGTAAAACCTAAAATTATTTTAACTAATGTGAACATACGGAAACGAAGATTTGAGCGGCTAAACTCATCGTAGAATACAGAACGTCCTCCCCAATGGAGCCCACTGCAGGTTTTCGGCCCCTCAGAGACGTGAGTTAAAATTCTTTTACTTACGAGAATAGATAATTCAGTTAAAGCCATATTGAATCTAAACTACTTAATATTGATCTTATCAGTAGTAAACAATAAATTACAATGAATTTTTCTGTTTTTAATAAATCAGAATTAATACGATACTTCGCGAGTTAATTAGCAAGCTCTTAAAAACATCAGGAATTCATTAATTAACTGGTCAACGAAATACACTATTTAGAATATTTCTGAATAACGAAGAATAAAAATGAGTATAAGAGTATAAAAAGTAATCCCACAGAAAATATAATCATCATCCCAATATAACATGTTAGATTTGTGTTTAATGCGCCGCCAATCACCGATGGGAGAACTCAGACTTTGAATAACTTATTATTTTTTCGTAGTTCACGGCCGACTTGCTAATAGTTAATAGATATTTTACCGTTAGTGCATAACTAATAATTATAAATACGCCATAATTATTCACGTGTGCGAAATGTTAACAGAGCAGAGCCAGCCTTACGCTGATGGGCTTGGGGGCGCTGTGTGGGCTGGCGGGGGGAGCCGTGCTCTACGTGCTCGGCAACGACGACTCGGGGCTTCTCGTCACCGCGGCTACCGGTGAGCAAACAAATTTTCCTATAATAGTCATTTGGATATATTAAGAATTTCTCACATCTTTTGATGCTGAATTACCTCAACTTTCATATAAACAACAGTATCAGGACATTTTCTCACGTCTTTTGATACTGAATGACCTGAACGTTCATATAAACAACAGTATCAGGTTATTTATTTCATAATAACTACTTATTGTTGCAGCACTGTTGCTGACCGTGTCTGTTGGGAGTCTGCTCATCCTGCGCAGATGTCCCGGTGTATATCATTCAATAAGTCGCCCACAAACTTCTAACAATCACGAGAGAAACCGTTCTTCAGAATACGACATGCATCCTCCCCGGTACAAATCCTCGTGGGGAAAAGCTTATGAGTCCAGCATGAAAGAGCTTGGACAAATGAATGCCCAAGACGACATGCAACCTGGATTTCATTACGATCCCTTAAATCTAGAGGAACTCGAAAGGCATCTTGAAGGCAGGAAAATAACAAAATCGAAGCAGTTTCGTATGATTTCATTATTCTTTAAAGGCAGTGCGAAAAGAAATTCTTCAACTCGAGCGTCAGGTGAGATTTCAGCACCAACGTATCGATTATTTCCTGCTCAAGAGTTGCCAACCCAATATTCACGGCAAGGTGCTTCAGGCAGCTCAAGTCGCCACTCGCCGACTGTGAACAATGTCACCGAATTGCACCGGCAGAACGCTACCGACAACCTATTCACTATCGAGCAGCAATCAAAATATTATTCCTCGTTGGACCCTATGTGTAATTTAGGGGTATTAAGATCTTTTGATTCAAGTAAAATTCACACTCGAGGGAAAAACCATGACCAAATTTCCCCTTTTAACGTCATCAAGCCTGTAGACGATGACGATGCGCTACCCTCATACAGACAAGCGATCAGGGAACTGAGAGCTGACCATCTCCTGCAACAATATGTTTGCCAGTGCCAGCAATACCCGAACGAAACACTCTCCAGATCTCTCAATGAGACTGCAGAAGTGCATTCATTTGCAATCACTTAACTTTACAAAACGAGTATTTCAAGTTTTAAATGACGCGATGATTTATTGCACGTTTTCTCTCGGGTATGGTATGGGCATACCACGTATGGCCAATATCATGTAATGAGAAATCGAGCTGATTAAATAACTCTCATGTAAAATAATTAAATGATTCCATCTTTTTATAGCCTTAAGTATAAAAGTTTAATTGAACTACTCAAAAGTAAACTGTCGATGCCCACGTTATACCATATGGCGTAATTAACTATCCCACGAAAACAGTTGATGTTGAAAAAACTATTTTCTACGATCAACGTTCAAAAAACGTATTTATGCCTTCACTGCTTCATTAAACATCCGGGTAATTCATGTAATCCTTGTGGCAACGGCATTCATAAATGATTCTTTCATCATCAAATGAAACTATGTCTAATATAGATTTTTCTTATTTAATGATCACGTTAAAAAGAAAAGAAAAGTTCCCGTTATTGTTCAGTTGTGTCGACTGTCGAGTAACGTTATAACATTACAAGATCCACATTGTGTTCTTAAAAAACGATTAACTCTGATACATTTTTATACTGCCCGCTTAATAAATTTTCAAACGTCTACTTGAACATGTTATCGAAACAGATGCAAAATAATATGAAATGAAAAGGTTAACCTGGCACATTTAAAGGTTTCGTAGGTGAAGAAAAATACGACTTAGATTCAAAGTTAATAGGGAAAGAGTGGTATTTGCTTACGGCTGCACCGGTCTCTTTCTGATAGCAGAAAGAGACCAATAATTTTACACATTCAACTACGCAATTAATAAGTGCAGAATCAAGAACTACAAAAATAGTTGTATTCAGTATAACAATATCTGCATTGCGCCATTTTAAATCCAGACTTCACAATAAGTAAAACAAAAAAATATTACTGTGCCAATTTGTTGATCTACTGCGATTTTAGATTAATTCACACAATTGTTATATAAATTCATAGTATTCAAAGTAAATGGAAATATTTTTATGTTGTAACACATGTCAAAAAATGTCGCTTCGAATTTTAGGAATCTAGCGACATTTCTCTATACCTGTGAAATTTATGTAGCGTGTCCCTTTATCAAGATTTCTGTTTCAACTTTCAACATGCCATTCCCAGGTTAGGTTACGCTGTAAGTAGACCTGTGCCCGAACGTGTGCTGCCGGAAAACTCTTCATGCATGCTAATCAAGGCCAAAGTGCGCACGATCATTTCTATGGTGGAAAATGTCCTAGACCATATAGCTTATGACGAGGCTCGCTTGTTAGAGCATCGAATCGCGTGATGAATGACTAAGTTTGGCACATTGAATGGTTTGTTATAAGATTCAGCTTGAATGTCTATATAGAATGTTGTTGGAAATGGAGGATAGACGGACTGCTCTGTAATCTGACAGAGCATTTAATTTCTTGACTTATTCAAGATGGCTATTACGTGATCCTTGAAGTGAAGTAGTGACTCCTCAAAATCTTGCAAAGGTCTCCATACCTTGGAGTTGTAGTGTCTAGCTTGGACACCGCCGGGTTTCCCCTGAATAAAAAAAAAAATTTACTACTGAATAGACCTTTATTGAGCTCACCCACAAGCTCGTGAGCAAGTTTCAACGCTCTGTGTAACTAACCCACAGTCAAACAGTTCGGAAGTCCTTAATTTTGAACAGATTCGCATGAAATTCGGTACATAACTAGTTATGTACGTCGAGAAATGGAATGGTACAAATTCTTTTGAAATTTGGTTTCCTGTTGAAATTGAACCTTAGAAAACAGAAGTTGGGTAATTCATGATGAGACTGTTAGACTGCGCTATTTGTTAGATCCTGATGATCGAACATATCCTTGTTCAGTCATTGCCTAACCGTAACACATAGAGGTTGAATACATACTAACGTTTAATTTACGTTTTGATGGGTTGGAGTGTCTAAAACCAATATGGCAAAAATGGGTTATATTCCTCTCACGGCGTAATGCTGATAAGTAGATATGTTCTAAATTTCGAACAGATTCAATCTTTATTCGGGGATTTATGAGCTGTTCGGTTGTGCAAAAAATTGCGTTCAGTGTTTAAGCTCGCTGAAGAGATCGGGACAGTTTCTATCCAGTTTTGGGAGAGCAGTTCCCTTCAGCTGCGGAGTTTCCTGCTCGCAATTACTATGGCAGTATCGTATAATGTTGTGGATATAATCCAGGTAAGTCAGGCTTGGTTATATTTTGGTTTAGGAAGGACGCCAGAAAAATCCCTCAAAACGTGTACGCGAGGTAGAGGAAGTATTTGAAGTGACTGCTGGATATGGCAAATTTTCATGCATAATTTGATATAGGCCCTGGGACTTGATGATAAACCGATATTTGCATTGTGTTGTGAATGATAGGGTTGCCCGAAACTGTCCTCGGTTATGAAACTAAAATTGAAGCGGTAACTATTTGCTATAGGAAGTCTAGATTTCCTACGGAGGATGAGCATGTTCCATTTGGTCTTGAACTGTAGTGATGCTTGTGTAATATTTTGATTCAAAAAGATTACAGATGTAGAGATGGAGCGTGATCTATCGAAAAACCTAGATCGCCTATCAATTAATGATCCCGTCGGTGGCTATGAGGATGATGACGAAGAAACTTTATCTGACCCGAATGAGCAAAGGGAAGACTTGGATCTGGACATGAGTGAAGAACGCGTACAAGTCACCGCGGCCTCGAATGACGAAGTCGCTTTGACAGAGGAGCAGCGGCTAGAAGAAAACCGAAAGGCCTGGGAAACTTACTCGCTTGTCATTTCTGGCACGACGTCGGTTTCGCATCCCGACGTCTACCGACCAGCAAGCGGCCGGTCCTACAGTGAAACAGACTTCGGTGAGCCTTATCCATAAAGTGATGAATAACACGGCGTATATTTCCAGACCAGTTATCCTCCATCTTGTCAAATGTGAACTGGAGGTCTTAACTTTATCAGGCATGCATTTTGTCTTGCTATGGTGACTGATTAATTAAAATTCTGTCCTAGTCTTTTTGAAGTTAATAAAAACATAACTTTCTGAATTGATTACCCATAATTGATTGAAATCTTAGCATTTCAGGGAAATTTCAAATCTATATTGCAGCTTATTTGAGAAATACCCCGCATCACAACTATGCACGAGATCGATCTCCCAGTCCCAGTCAAGGTTCTACTCGTCGACGCAAACCCTACGACTTTGACAGCGATCGGTTTATCTGCGGGTTTTCAGAAATATGCGGAACATTTAGCGGCGCCGATGATTTAGGCTACTGCAAGCGATGTGGCATGAGAGTTCAAATAGTTAACGAATATGTGGAGCACATCCCAGGTTCTCAGCAAGTCCCCCAGAATGCTGATCTAGGTCAATCAGCGTCAAATCCACAGATTAGAGTGAGAAGAGCTCTTGCCAACTACAGAGATGGGCGCGGCCCCACAATCTGTCCGTCAAAACGACCACCTCCACCTTGGGCATGGTCAGAGCCCAAAGTTAGTGATGCACCGCGCCGTCCAAGCTATGGTTGGACGTCGTCCAGCCGTAGGGGCTCTTCGTCGTCACTCTTCAAATTCATTCAAGGCTCTTCATCGTCGCCGAGAGCCCATGGTGGCTCTTCATCGACGCCGAGAGCCCACGGTGGCTCTTCATCGTCGCTGAGAGCCCATGGTGGCTCTTCATCGTCGCCGAGAGCCCATGGTGGCTCTTCATCGTCGCCGAGAGCCCATGGTGGCTCTTCATCGTCGCCGAGAGCCCATGGTGGCTCTTCATCGTCGCCGAGAGCCCATGGTAGCTCTTCATCGTCGCCGAGAGCGGCCCATGGTGGTTCTTCCTCGCCGTCCGGAGCCTATGGTGGTTCTTCATCGCCGTCGGGAGCCTATGGTGGCTCTTCATCGCCGTCGGGAGCCTATGGTGGCTCTTCATCGCCGTCGGGAGCCTATGGTGGCTCTTCATCGCCGTCGGGAGCCTATGGTGGCTCTTCATCGCCGTCGGGAGCCTATGGTGGCTCTTCATCGCCGTCGGGAGCCTATGGTGGCTCGTCTTCGCCGTCGGGAGCCTATGGTGGCTCGTCTTCGTCAAAAGCCTTCGCTACGTCATCAGAAAGTAGAGAAATTTTCCCGACTTTAGATGACCCTCACGCGAGAGCCACGAGGATGGAGGAGCTGTACAGTGATGCTTTATGCGCGTCGCTTGGTGATTACAGACCGAAGGAGCGGAGCGCTTCGGATTCGGCTATTAAATTTTTTGTGGACGAGCATGTGGCAGGTGGCATCAGAGCGTTGCGCCGGAAGTTTGGTCAAAAATATGCTAAAAAGAAATGATGGTTTACGATCATCTCGAGGCTTCCGAACACAGCACGTACGTGCGTCATAAGTATCTTTCATTCCTAACCGATATCGATTTTAATGACTAGCTTTGCTTTGAGTAACTTGAAACTACTAGGTGATATTTCTGATCATCGACTTGCAGCACATCGGCTTTTAATTCCCCTCCATTTTATTCCGGACTTAGTTTCTGTAATAATACATTGACGGTACCTGATCTTTCTTTTATTTGAACGGCGAATGAGTAGCAGTAGCCTACCTTGGGTTGACTAATTCGACGAATACTTATCAGTCTAATGAAGAATCGTTGATATCAGCTTTCGGCTATATAGAGACCTCTCGCTTGCGTTACTGTTCTGTTACTCAATCGAATCTTGCACCCCAGACGGTAACCGGCGAATCCCGTGGGGAAGAACATGTTTGATGAATAAGTTTGTTATCTGCTACCAGTTGAACTGTCGCATCAAGGGAGCGTATATGAATTTTATAAGGAATTGAGTAAGCTCGATGCTTGATGTTCACACGGTGTCAGGGAGTGCCCAGCTCTAATAAATTCTTGAGAGATACGGAAGCTAGTGGTAGAGTGAAGCATAGAGTTCGGTTCCTCCTTTAAGATTGGAAAGTATGGCATATACAGGATGACTAGGCCTAACCTCAAGATCCCTCGGGCAAAGTGTACAGAGAGTTCTTTTGGGCAACAGGCGAAGGTCGTCCTAAAAGCCTCGCCCCTATATAGTCGGCCCACCCAAGGCAAGCTCCTATGATAGCCTCTTGCTCATTGCCGCGACCATTGCACTACAGTGACATCCCGGCCATCCTCAAAACGTTGAGCCAGAATTACAAATTTCCTCGAGGGTTCTTAGTTGAATGGTTAGAGCTCGAAAGCAGGTGACCGGCGGTTTCCGAACAAGAGAAATAAAGCTGCAGATTAGCTGATCGTGGGCTTAGTTTGATAGATGACGCCTTTCTTGCTGGGAGTCCTCACAATTTGGCTGCCGCAGTTGGGCAAGCCATTGTACAGAACCTGTAGCGTAATTAGGCCTATTTTCGGAGGGCTTCAGCCCCTACAAATATTAAAGCTCCCCCAAAATAATTTTAGTTCATTAATTTTTTTTCTTTTCAAGTGCCGGCAAATTAAATATTATTCTGCCTTAATATAGGTTTTAACAAATATTTATACCCCCAATCATAACTGAAGCATCGTAAATTTATAATGGCTTAGCCTTCCTTTTCCTTAGAACCCCGCGGTCCTTGAAACCTACATGGAGCTCAGCCAGAGCTATCCGTGAAACCTAGTCACGCCACTCATCAGGATGCTCGAGTTTTTACATGATTAATGAGCGTTGGTTTCATCAAATAATCAAAATCTGATGGCTGGAAACATTGCGACACTAATAATTCCCGTACCTTGATATTGTTCAAAGAACTGGCTAGAAACGTAGATCGTAGAGTTTTACTCCTACAACTGTATCGGCCGCAGTCGTGGTGGTCTATAACGGAGTTAAGGCGCTCAAAATTTACGTAGGTGGAATCCATACAAATAACTCGTTGTGTCCAGGTTTCTGAGATCACTAGCTTTTCCTACAGCAGGTTGAGAGTTAGTTTTGATCGTGTATTATTTAAACCGCTAGTCTCTTCAGTGACTAGTTTAATAAATGTGCAGGTGTAATCGAGCCAATTTCACAGCACACACAGCACAGGCCAATTTGTCCCAGCTTTGATAATTGCCGCGATAACATTTCAGGAACGTCATCGTGCAAAACGCATAAAATTAATGTAAAATATTTTTAAAAAATGTTACGGGCGGAAGATGCACAATGGACTTTTTCACTAGTGAGCATTACTGAAAGAACTTCATTCCATTTGCCAACGATGACTATTAATCCATTACAAGGATACTACTGTATATAGGTTTAGCTGTCGACCATCTACCAAAAATAGTTCACTGCTTTAAGCCAAGTCTTTCTCTGAACGTTATAACTCCTAAAATGTTTTATTTGCTGCTTGCGCGAGCCATCTTCTGCCTCAGGCGGCTGGCTAACGCGTGAACCTGACTTCTCAGATCAATCAGAATTTCTTTAATAATTGTAATAATTACATGAAATATTCTGAAACATTTTGTATCCTAATCGCTAGGATGTTAAATCGTAAGCTTAATGTTACGAGAAACGATTGAAGTGCTGGTAAATCATTAGGAACAAACACGTAATTTATGTAGAAACTTGTCTATATATTTTCGTTGTACATGCAGAATTGAACTTCCTTTAAGTAGATTTGTGAGTGAAAAAGTGCATTGAAAATCAGTTCACTTTAAATAAATTTTTCGTAATATCTGTTGAAGGTTGTGTGACATAAATTATTTAACCAATTCGATCATTCATGATTTTTTCGGATTCGTTTTCAATATTTGTTGATCTTTAAATTTATTTATCAATTACATAAACATTTATGTTTGCAGACGGTCATTTATTTCAATGCACACAGCTGATCCTTTTCGATGACAGTCTTTTCTGAACACGAACCTCACAAATTCCTGAGACGAACAATTTTCAGCCTTCTCTAATTGTAACGTCTTCTTAGCGTCGTGCTTTGGTAGAGTTAGGTTATTAACGGTTCTCTATCCCGCCGAACGATGTAAGTACAAGGGTGATGTACACTAGCGGGTATCCTGACCATTTGATTGGATGCACCGTGAAGCGGTTTGTATGGAATCAAGTGACGTGATGGGCTTGGTATTACTGATAAGCCATAAAGAAACCTTGAGGTGCTGGAGGTGTGGTGGAAGGCTATGCTGGTTGACAATTATCACGGGATATTATGTGTAACTTATTCTCGGTCATTAATGTAAGTGGTTTTAAACCAGGCTCGTGAATTTGAATTTAGCAGCATTTGAACAGAGTTTTGAAGTGAAACATTCAAAGGCATCCTGATACGCGATAACCTGTTTTTTAGAATAGACGATAAATTTGCACTCTCGGTTCATGTAGAGCAGCGTAATTAGCGCCTTTAGCATATCTGGCTAAATACAGATTTTGGGGTGCCTATGAAGATTATGATAAAGCTCAATCTACGAAATGGGGTGGCATGTCGTGGTATAAAAGTTATCCGTGTCTAGCATTGTGTGGTGGTTGCATTAATTATAGAAAGATTGACAGAATCTCCTCCTGTGCATAAAATGTAAGTCACTTCATGTCATTCTCAGGTCGCTTTTCGGTGAAGAGAGCAAAGAAAATTTTTTCGACCTTCTTGATGGTTTCATAGCGGCGTACACGGCGAAGAAAGATGATGACGAGGATGATCTTGACGTCTCTAACAACAATCCTAGCTCTCTCTCCGCCAGTGCAGATGTTGCATCTTCGACGGCGCAGAACGGCAAATGTGGATCAGATGTTACTCCTGAATCTGCAGCTAAAGAAGGCGACGTTGCTGTGGAAGTTTCCCCATTCCGACGAGGCGCGAAGGAGCGCAAAACTACAGAAGAGAGATCATCTCGATGTGAGTATAGGCCGTATCTATCTAGTCATGCTTATAGTGGTTATTGCTTTATTCTATAGTAACGTTAAGACTCCTATTCTTTTTGGCAAAAACTTTTTGGAATTGAGATTTGTGCTGCGTTGAGGTAATGCATGCTGTGCAAGATATTTTTTTCTCTAGAGTTGCGAATTAGGCTTTAATACATGTCTGTAAAACTTTTAAAAATAATTCTAATAAATTTTCCTCTATCAGCCAACTTTCCTCTCGTACGACGCAGCTCCTCCGTCTCCGGTTCGCAGTCGGTGGCCAGAGACGCCCGTACTGGTTTCACGCATATGCTGGTTAAAGGGCACTTGCCTTCTACGAACGGAAAATGCCAGCACTGTTCAGAGTTCATAAGTATGGATACGCACAATTTCTTCATGAAGTGCGCTACTGGAAAGACAGACGCTATGTTCTTTACGAAGGTGTACGGTGTGGATGAATTTCCAATGAGCGGAGCACGGAAGCCCCGCGACTCGACACCTGTGCCCTGGAAGGACAACTCTGTTGATGACGAGTCTGTTAGTCCGAGTAAGACGGAGAGATCAAGGACTTCTGCCTCTTCTCCAGCACCCGAAGTTTTTCTGAAGGCGTCTTCCGGTGCACAAGCAGTCCCTGCTGAAGCAGCAAACTCCCAGAACACCTCCATTATAGAGGGAGAAACGGGCAGTGAAATGGTTAAAGTCTCGCATTCGGAGAAGCCGTGCAGAAGATCGAACATGATTGAGCTGCTGTACGACGTCGAAACGGGCACTATAGTTATGAGAGACGGATTAAGAGAACGCATAGTCAGGGAAAAGAAAAAGAAAATGGTCTAGAATTAAAGATGATGCGGTTAAATTTTAGAAGATCTGTTTAGGTCCAGTTCTCATTGCGGTATGAATAAATTTCCAATTATTGTTTCACTTCATTGCCATTAATATTTTGTATTGCAAGATTGCTTTTCATTTTCCCCATGCACAAAGCGAGAGCTACAAGAGGCCCGACAAATCTCTCCCGATTTTTGAGGATGGCTATTTTACAAGTCTCTATCGTTATTTAAATGTGCTAAGTATGGTTTCCAATTAGACTAATTAGTCACTTCATGATTGTTGTACTATGCGAAAATAGTTTCATTGCGACACCCCAGTTCAGGAACGGTGGAAAATTGTGCACAGAGTTGCTTCCGTACTAACGCGAAAGCAATATAAATGGAAGCTGAACCACTGCCTAAACGGGATACTCTTCAAGTATGGCGATCGGTGCTCGATGAGGAAGTTTTTGTTCTTTTACAAAGGCTTTATACAACGCTTCTCTACAACTTCACTTCTTGTCTGTTGCAAATCTTATAATCGATATGAAGCACGCTTCTAATGTTCCAATCGATCCGAAATTTTGCACACTTGCGTAAAGTCGGAGACAATACATGCATGACTTAATTGACGGTATAAATAATTAAATTAGAAATTCATTGGGCATGTGTAACATCGGAGAAATAGCCTCTTCAAATGTGTTGTCTAGGAAAAGTAATTTTCAAACTCCTATTATTTATAACTGTATTTGGCTGGTAGGAGTTGCATTTACGTCAACATTAATCTTGCAACTACGGTTGTGAATATTTTCGACACTGTGGATATGTTTTCGGTGTTCTACGAAGTGTACTGGAAATTCTTGCATCTCTAAGACAACTGTATGTACGAAGGTTGCTCGACGGAATTACTGTATGTACGAGGATTACAAAAGGCGGTGCAACGATGTATTAATGGCTAGTGCGCCTTGATGCACTTAACGATGCCGAAATGCAATATCTTCATTACTGTTTGAGGTCTGTCCGCATGGGGGGTGATAAACAGCAAGCATCTGATCGGCAGGTAAATTCAAAGTGTTCTAAAGGTAAATTAAAGTGTTTTTCTATTGAGAGATGAAGGACGGTGTTGCTATTGTCAGGTAATATTACATATATTTGAAGACACTATCTCTGAGATGTTCGGTAACTCCTTTATACAATAGTACTGTTCAGCCACGGTATCCAACATGCTGCTGAGATTAGCGGCCTCCTATAGCAACTGTATTGCCAGCAACCATTTCCATTTTGCTGCTGAGCAGCGATATCCCAGTAGATGTTGACCAGCGATATCCTTTTAGGACACTTCGCTATCCCCCGGGCGTGGGCCCTCGTAAAGGCCTCTTATCGGGTCCGCTCAAATGGACCGACCATCGAGCGAATGTTTAAATTAGGCGACTGCGGAGGACGCAACAATAAAATCGGCCTCGGCGTTTCTGCGCGCACTTGTTTGCCGGGGGTTGGAGGCGCCCACGAATTTGTTTTGTTAGCGGAATGTGTTGGTTTACCAGGTTCGACTTAATATGCAAATACTTGAAGATAGATTTGTTGGTTCTCCTTAGCTTTCGAAGTTGTATTATTCATTTCTCAAGTTATTCTACTCTCCGAGTCTCGAAACAGCTGTCATGATTAGATTTCCAAAACCTCCCCGTATCTATCAGAAAACGTTCCGACTTCTGAATGCTGCGTTCGTAAATCTGTGTTCAATTTGTCAGTGGGATACTTAAGCAGCGCTTTTATTTGAAGCAATGAGTCATGACTCATGATATAGCTTCAAGCAGAAGAGCAGTGACCATGCATGCAAGCAAAGCAGTGAATTATACAGTTTTAAGAAGTAGTAAAGTAGTATTTGGTGATATTTGTGCACCGCGGAAAGTTCCAAGTATAAATGGAGAACGCAATACCGCAGCTTTCATTGGTCTGAGCATGCAGGAGTGCAGTATTGTTCAGCACGAAACAATCTTTAAGGTAATGAATTAACTGAAAATTTCTCAAAGTATGAACAATTGGGTGGAAATTAGCCAAAATTTTAGCCATTGAATCATGCATAAAAATTTATCGAGTAAAAGCTGAGTGCTGAGCTGGAGCCGATTGTTGAGCAAGAAACTGGTACTGAGAATCCGGGTGCTGAACAAGAGCCGGGAGCTGAGCAAGAGCCGGGTGCTGAGCAAGAGCCGGGTGCTGAGCAAGGGCCGGGTGCTGAGCAAGAGCCGGGTGCTGAACAAGAGCCGGGTGCTGAGCAAGAGCCGTGTGCTGAGCACGAGCCGTGTGCTGAGCACGAGCCGGGTGCTGAGCACGAGCCGGGTGCTGAGCAAGAGCCGGGTGCTGAGCGAGCAAGAGCCGGGTGCTGAACAAGAGCCGGGTGCTGAACAAGAGCCGGGTGCTGAGCAAGAGCCGGGTGCTGAGCACGAGCCGTGTCAAGAGCCGGGTGCTGAGCAAGAGCCGGGTGCTGAGCAAGAGCCGTGTGCTGAGCAGAGTCCGGATGCTGAGCCGTGACCTGCAGGGACGGCAATGCACCTGGGAGGGCCGCGCCCGGGCTATCGAGCCGACCTGTCGAACTCAAAGAAAAACTGGGCGATAATTCTCGCGCCTGGGGCGGGGGTGAAGAGTTGGGGTGGGGAGGTGAAAATGGGCTGAGAGGTTGAACATGTAGTGAGAGGGTGGAGCTGGGGTAAAGGGTGCATGAACATGGGATGAGGGGAACTCTAGAGATGTTTGGTCAAGACGCTATAGAGTTAACTGGTTATAGTATTGTGTCTATATGGTTGATGTTCTAAAGTGGAATGGAGAGAGATGCTGAGATGAGGCATTGAAACGATGATGCAACCTAACGGCCAAATAGACTAAAGCTGAAGAAATTGATAACAGCATTAAAAATAATTGGTGTCGTCTCATGCGGTAAATCGACTTAAAGTGGGGTAAGTGCAAACAATCGGAGTAATCATTATCAGAATGAGAGGAATTGTGATTGATTTGATCAAATTCATGACATGAATACTGTTGGCAACAATAAGAAGAAGAGAGTTTTGCTCAGTTATTGATTTCAAGAAAGTTAGCTGGAACGAAAAATGTCTGAGAAATCAGAATGACTTGTAACTTAATTATGGACTGGGAGGGGTGATGAGTAGAGTAGACAGATTGGATGTGTATAAACTATGTCCAGTGGCAAACATTTTTGAAATAAAATCTCAAATGCATAGTGTATAGATCTTATAACTGGAATTTCAGTAGCTCCGACGACACCAATTTTCTGAGATTACCTTTGCATACCCGCATTGTGAGGCTGTTTTGACCTAAACAAAATAACAAGGCTGTCAATAAAGGCGCAATATATTGTGATAGTATTGTAGCCAGAGGCTCGCTAAGTCGCTATACCGCCGGTCGTAGGCCTCCGCTCAACGCCTGGAATTTTGGAAGTTTTTGTGTGCGTTTCTTTTTTTGGCCGTGGGTGTGGCCGTCGAGAAGGTCACATCGCTTAATAGATTCCATGGACGAAATTTCAACGTCGATTGTTAAACGCTTGAAGTCATTCCCATGCATGAATGACATTTTAATTAAAAAACATGATAATAATTATTTGAAAAAAGAAATAGCAAAATAATCTATAAATTTTATTTTAAAAGATTACCTTCTGAACGTCTTAGCCACTGGAAAATACACGTCGAGTAAGAAAAAAAGGTCTGAGGGAGGGACTGAGAGGCGGATCAGAGGGAAGAGGCAGGATTCAAGACGCTGGTGGAGGAGTGGCCTGCACGGTGCCCTCAGTTTACCCTCAGTGAGCCCGAGGCATCACAGAGAGAAGGTGTTCACCTCTGCCGCTCTCTACGTGATTCTCAGCAACTCTGCCCTCACACGTGGCCCTCGCGTTCAAGTCCTGCTCCTGCAAACTTGTCGGGATTTTTGGTAGCAAACAATGAACTCATTCAAATAAGTCAATTCACTGGCAAAATGGTAAATCTAGAAAGTGAGAACGTTATAGCTTCATCCATTGTATTTGATTTTGCATAAACAGCCGAGCCGTTATTTTTTAAAGAAACACAATATTGTGAAAAGGAAGGCATAAGAAATTTCCTTCTAAATATTTCTTGAACATTTTCTACTTGATGAAACTCTGGTAAAGTGTTGTCTAGAATAAACGAGTGATCGATAAAATTGGCCGGCATCGGAGAAGACTCGCTCGCTAAACGGTCTGAATTATTTTCTTGCGCCTGGATTTTAAACGAATTCTTACAAACTCTCAGGGGAAACGTTTATGTTGTGTAATTTGGGAGCATTACTCTCATTAAATAAATTACTATTTATTAAAAAATTTGCGCAATTAGATCAGTATTGAAAATCGTTAGGATTTCGGTATAAAAAGATCATCGCACAGCGCTTCGAAGAAATCGATGAAGACTTCAATTTGAAAAATCGGGCAGAGACAATTTAAAGTTCTATTAAATCTCATGTTTCGAAATGATACATCCAATTAAACAACTCAAATTTGATAACATATGACCTTGTGTATCGTGCAGCGACACGAAGACGACGCCCGAGTATTAAATCGTGTGTGAAGAATTAAATCCCTGACTTATAACCAAGTAGTTTTTTGCGTGTATGAACGTAAAGTAAACTTCGATGAACTTCATAGCGAAGACGAGACGGCTTGAGGCGGCCGCGTCGCTGCTGCTGCTCCTGACCTGCGTGGCGGCCGACGCGATCAATTCTTACAATGGGATAAAAAAGCAAGGTAAGCTTTTGAAATGGAAATTTTATTTTGTTATTGTATAATGTAACGAAAAATTTTCCTAGCGTAACTGTAAATAGATTTAGAATTGAATTTTATCTTTTGGGATGGATGCATGCAACGATAATGAATTTAGATAGTAATACAAGCTTAAATGAAATCCATATCCGTATTAAATTCGAGTATAATATTATCTGTAATACTTTTAGTTAGTTGTTTTGTATTCATTAAGGTTAGAAAATTAAATAAGTTTCATTTTTAGAATCTTGCATGATCGCTCTTTAGCAGTTCGTACCGCAGAGTTACAGTATATACAGGGTTATTCCAAATGATGGACATGATTTAATAAATTCGCATTTTTATTCAAGTAAATTTTAAAA